GCAGCACCCGACCACAAACAGTTCAGCATCCCACCAAGGTGGGGGGAGGGGAAACTTTTATAGGGTGTTTGCAGAAGCAAGACAAAGAAAATATTTGGTAAAATGAAAAGGTCCTAGATATTAGCTGCTGGTTTCTGATTAGTGAAGTCTCTAGTTAGAGGTTAGCTGATGGTTTCAGATTGGTTAAGTTTAAGTTTACATTGAGTTGGATTTGGGTTTGCTTACATGGGAACCCAAGTCACTGGAACCATCTCAGCCTGATAGCCTCCCAATTAATTATTTTAATAAAACTATATGGACAGAATTCACCTGTGTTACAGTGTATCCTTAAGCAGTTTGTGCTAGTCTGGGTCCTGGAGAGGAAGACACCAAGAGGAAGTTAAATGTGCAAAAAATGTATTAGGGGAAATACCTGTGTGAGAAAATTGGGAGGGAGCCTGAAGAGGCTGAGAGAGCCATCAAACTGGTGCTAATCTGATCATGAGTGAATGGGAAGAAAGAAAGAAAGGTTGTGTGGCAGCAGTTCTAAGGCACGTTCAGCAAAGCCTGGAGCTTAAGTCCTGCATCAGAGCAATCTCATGTCTCCCAAAGTTGGCCCTGCCTGAGTAACTCTGCCATGCTCTTGTGTGACAGCAGCCCATGGAAACATGGTCTCAGTGCAAGCACAGTAATGAATCTCAGAGCACAGTAGCTAGGGCCCTCAGTCAATTACTCTCCCTGTTATTTAAGATTTACAAGGTGCTTTTTCATGGTCATAACACAAGATTCCCAAAATTTAAGGTGCATACAAGTCACCTGGGGATCTCACTAAAAGGCAGATTCAGTAGGTCTGAAGTGGGGCCTAAGTTTCTGTGTTTCTGACAAGCCCTCAGGTAATACGCTGTTGGTCTAGAGATCTCGCTTTGAGTAGCAAGGGCCTAGAGAACACTTGGAAAAGCCCTATTCAAACTATCTAAATAGGTTATTGAGAACTCTTCATAGGCTTAATGCCTCACCCCTGATGGGAGAGCCAACTCTGTTGCACTCAGACGTACACAATTCCAGGTTAGGTTTTTTCCATTCAAATAACTCACTCCCCTTTGCTGTAAAATCACAGCTGTCAACCTTCTCTTGTCACACTATATGCACAACCCTTTTATGATCATCTCTGTATCACCCGCACCTGTGCATTCACTTTCATTACCAAGAGAGGGCTTTGGTCCTGTGTGATCTCAATCACATCCTTTCCCCCTTCCAATTATTTGGTTTTGACAGTTTATATTTGTTTCTTAACCTTTTTTTTTTTTTTTTTTTTTTTTTTTGAGACAGAGTCTTACTCTCTTGCCTGGGCTAGAGTGCCATGGCGTCAGCCTAGCTCACAGCAACCTCAAATTCCTGGGCACAAGCGATCCTCCTGCCTCAGCTTCCCAATTAGCTGGGACTACAGGCATGAGACACCATGCCCGACTAATTTTTTCTATTTTTAGTAGAGACGGGGTCTTGCTCTTGCTCAGGCTGGTGTCGAACTCCTGAGCTCAAACAATCCGCCCGCCTTGGCCTCCCAGAGTACTAGGATTACAGGTGTGAGCCACCGTGCCCGGCCTATTTCTTAATCTTAAACAAAAAGTTTCAAGCCCCTACTTCCAACAATATTGGGCTCCAAAGTCCACTACATAGAAAATCTGGTTCAGCCAGTTATCCGCCCCCTCTTCTAGGTGGCAGTTCTGAGGGATCTGGCCATGTACATCTCCTCCAGATTGCCTGAAGACTGCTGCAGTTACCATCCTGACCATGTAGCTGTCCATCTATCACAAACAGATCTGCTCCCTTCCTTCATTCTGGCCTCTTTGCATAGCTTTACTCAATTCTCTACACAGTGTATATTGTGTAAAATAGCAGTTTTCAGATTTTTCTAAAGCCATGGAATTCTTTCTTCAAAGAAAGCTTAAGTGAAATACATATGCTGGTATGGCTGAAACAGTGGGAGATGAAATTAGAGAGACGATCAGGAATATACCTTGTGAGTTAAGGTGTTTAAGTGTTATGAAAGCAAGGGGGAGCAAACAAAGGATTTCAAGGAAGTTAAGACATGATCAGATTTGTACATCTTGGATGATTACTCTAGCAGATGTGAGGGAGTAGGATAACTTGAAGGGGGTCCAGATGGAATCTGAAAGACTAGGAATGAAGATTATAAGGGATATTAAGGAATCAGAATCATCAGAACTTGCCACCTGGTTGTGGACGCAATGAATGAGAAGAGTATAGTATGTCTCCCAAGTTTCAAGCTTGGGCAATTACCAATCCAGGAGTTCAAGGGTTGCCAATTATTGAACTGGGGAAGACAGAAGGAGGATAGGTTTAGGAAAAAGGTATTGAGTTCAGCTGTGGACATATTGAGTTTAAGGGAGACAATCAGTAACCATTTGAGTAAATGGATGTAGAAATCAGCAGAATCTGGCTTAAGAGACCTGTCTTGTATGTAGGACTATGTTATTGATTGCAGAGTATTTATTCTCAAGCCTTTGCTTAGGCAACTGCTTGAAGTTCACACTAAATAGTCTTTTTCAACTGAATTGTCTATAAAGTCTTGTTTTCTTCCAATATGTTCTTCAAAATATAGGTTTCCTACTACAATTGCTATTTCAGTAATTACTTCTCCCCTTCTCTTTCTAAAAGTGCTCTTTGCCTATTCAAGTTTGGGGCCTTATTCAGCATTCTGTGCTGGTCACATGCTTAAAAAGGCCAGACAAATAGGGAGGCGATTTTTTGTTCCCTTTGGCAGATAGTCATTTCTGTTTAGAATCTGAGCTCAAAAGGAGACTTACAGGTGGTGGCTATGAGGAAATAGGAATTAATAGGAAACTATGGGTGTAATTTATAGAAAATAGCCTCAGTTGCCATATGTGCAAGAAAGGAAGTACTATATGTAATACATTGGATACGTTATGCTTTATTTAGAAGGTTAAGTTTAAAAATTTTTTTACTTGTACTCTTTTTTTTTTTTTAGAGCCAGGGCTCTCACTATGTTACCCAAGCTGTCCTTGAACTTCTGGCCTCAAGCAATCTTCCTGCTTCAGCTTCCTGAGCAGCTGGGATTACAGGGGTATACCACCACACCCAGCCCTAGAAAGTTAGGTTTTAATGTGGTGGTTTTCAAACTTGGGTTTTAAATTTCTAGAGGGACCACTAAAAGGGAGGGAGGGTTGCTAAGTAGTTGAGATTTCAGTCCCATTACCACTATTTTCAGCCAGAACAACCTAATTTCTTTTACATAAGCTTTCATTGAGGACAAGATTCCATGGCTTCTTTTAAAAAAGTGTTTTAAGTGTGAAAACCACTATTTTATGCAATACAAGCTGTAAGACATATGAAAAGGTCGGTGATGAAGGAGTTCAGAGTAAAGAAAGGAAAAAAAGCTGTTTAATAATAGATGATAACTGCAGTAAGCTTCAGGCCCTTCTTTGTGCTAGTAACACAAAAAGACATCACAGTCACTGCAATAAGAATGTTTTGGTCAATGATGAAAACCAAATCCATGACAGTGGTCTCATAAGCTTGCAATACCATATTTTTACTGTACCTTTTCTATGTTTAGAAATGTTTAGGTACACAAATACCACTATGTTACAATTGCCTGTTGTATTCAGTATAGTAACAGACAGTAGCAGCACAGACTCTACCATATAGCCCAGATACGTAGTAGACTATACCATCTTAAGTTTGTGTAAGTACACTCTATGATGTTTCCATAAAAACAACAAAATCGCCTAATAACGCATTTCTCAGAATGTATCTCTGCCGTTAAGGGATGAATCACTGTACTTCCAGTCCATTTTATTTTTGATTTACTTTCGTTACCTCCTCATCTTAGCTCCTTAAAGGCAATGCATGACATAGCAGTTTGCATTTCCAATGTTTAGCACAATAAGAGCCTACTAAATGTCTGTTGAATAAACCCACAGGCTTATATTCAAAGCAATGCAAGTGGAATTCTTTACAGGTACTGTACTTGGGCATTGTACCCCTAACTCAGAGGGGAGTTTTATTTATTTTTCGCTACAATAATTTAAGAGTTTTAAAGGGGGCCAGAAAAATGTCCACGATTAAGGTTTTGAGTTTTTGTGTATATGTGTGAAGAAAAGTGAGGCAAGAAGGGATAAAATGCCTTGCGAAAAAGAGAATAAATGTCTCGGCTGAGGTGTCTTGAATAAGGTGACCGATATAATCCATAATCAATGTGTTGGAATGTGTCATCAAAACTAAGTGGTGTGGATGAGGGAGAAATGACACAAACTGATTCACGTTTTTTGGATGAAACAATGATCCTTACGTTGACAGGAATAATTAGCGCCTCAGACAAAAGTTGCCGTCAGACACAATGTTCAAGGTCACGAAAGAAAACCATCTCAGTACAACAGTAAGTGAGAGTAAGGTTTTTCCTCACGCTTTCAAAACTGCAGCCTGCCTTCTTTGGCTCTCCTGTTTTTGGTAAATCAAATCTAGCTCTGCCAAAATCAGACAAAACAACTTAAAACATGTTTTTTAAAAAAACAAAAACAAAACCCTGCCTTGAAATACAAAGACGAGTCTGGGACTGTGGTTGAGTCTCCTGCCGGAATGCGGCGGTAAACTCGAGTCCCCAACGTCTCCTAGGGGTTCCGATAGTGCCGAGGCCACACCGGGCAAGCAGAAGCCCCCAACCCTGGCGAACTTCCAGGAGACAGAGCCGAGAAAGCCTCCAGCAGCTCCTCCGGCGGGCTGCGTCTCCCGGCTCTCTGCCAAGCCAGAGGAAAAGAGCTAGCACTGGGGCCAGGCGGGGAGCCCCTCCCACAGCCCAGGGGCCGGGAGCCCCTTGCACCCCCTGGCCGCAATCCGGAAGTAGAGGCGGGCGGCGTGGTGCGGCCCTGTTGAGGTTCCGGGTCGGGCCGCGCCGCAGCCCGCGCTCAGTTCGCAGCCGCAGCGCTCCGCCCCCGCGCTCCGGACTTGGTAGGCGGCGGCCGCAAGGCCGTTCCCGGGGCCACATGGCTGAGGGGGACGCAGGGAGCGACCAGAGGCAGGTGAGGCCCCGGCGGAGCGCTAACCCTCCGGGCTCGGTTCGGCCTCGCCTTGCGGTCCCAGGCCTCGTCAGCCGAGGGGCCCTTCGCCCGGGGCCGTCCCGGGTCTCGCCTGCACCGCCCGGGCCGCCCGGCCGCACCGCTTGTTGCACTGGGTACCATTTTCCCGGAGCTTCCCCTCGGTCGAGAGTTCTCGGGCCGGCGGCTTCTCTGCGGCTACAGCCTCGGCCTGCCTGGACCGTGTCCTCGTCAGCCATTAGCACGCGACTGAGCAGCTCCGGGCCGAAGGCAGAGACCCGAGTTTAACTTCGTTCCCTGTTGCCGCCAGCTCACCTTGGATAAACCACTTGAGAAACCCGGTTTCCGCCATTGTAAAAGGGAAATAATACAGACCTTGCAGTTGCCTGAGAGCCCACCGAATCTTAATCCTCTTGGCCTTGAGCATTCCCTGTGCATCGTTTACGTGGGCGCTCATAAGCCTTTTCCTACAGGGCAGTGAGGACAAAATAAGATTATACGAAGTCGAATACATACTTTGCTTCCCATTTTTCACCTTTAGGTCCAGTTATTTTTCTTTTTTAACCCTAAGCCAAAATAATTTCTGAAATCTTTCAAGGGTTTGATTGCCAATAAGACCCCCAAACACCTTAGCCTTGTGCCTCACTCTCCCAACCCCCCTCAAAATAATCAAAACCAGAAAGAACAATGAGATACAGTGAGTGAGATACACTGCAGGAATATAGGGATAATGTGTAGTAATGGTATGGGGCGTGGGAGTGAGGGTGGAGATTACCAGCTAAAAAAGAGAGGGTGAAACAGAAGATAGGTTTGTGTTTTCACTTGTGAATCTCACTACAAGGTATGGAGTGCCTAGATATTTTGGCTCAAAAGTGGTCAAAAGCACGGTAATGTGGTAGCAAGGCAGGATCCAGTCATTGCAATGCTGTATGGCAACCACCTAGAGAGTAGAACGTGATGTTAATAATGTGTGGCCTGCTAATGGGCTCATCCAAGGATCCTTCATCTAGGCTAGTGATGCTGTATGTAAATACCTTAAAAAGTATTAAGAATAGGTTTTTAGGATATGTACATTTGTTGACTTTTTTTTTAATCACCTCTTTCAGAATGAGGAAATCGAAGCTATGGCAGCCATTTATGGAGAGGAATGGTGTGTTATTGATGACTGTGCCAAAATATTTTGTATTAGAATTAGCGACGATATAGATGACCCTAAATGGACACTTTGCTTGCAGGTATTTTACCCCCTTCTCTACAGCCATTTTCCGGTTCCAGTATTAGCTATATGAATAAGTGTTATATTCTAATGATTATTTTTGTGTGTTATTTTCTAAATTATCTTTGTTGTTGGCTTTTTCAATGGTTGATCATCTAAACATATGGGTAGTTAAATCTCAGATCACTCTCAAATCGTGCTTTAATTGATAGTTTCAATTTTTCTTATCCCACTTCTTTGAATTACTTAAAGTGTTAATGTACCTTTGACAGACTGGAGTTTTGCGTCTTTTCATTAGCTTCTCCATCTAATGGAGAATCTAAACCTGGAAAGACGGCTAACATTTGTGAAGAAGAACAGGTTAGTAGGTGATTCATAGAATAGATGCTGATTTCTTCATTAATTAAGAATCAGTTATAGTTAGGATAAAATAAATGGATGACTTTCTTAATGCTTAATCTTTGATGACTGCTAATATGTGCTTTCAGCATAAAAGGTGCTAAATTGAGTTTTTGCCAGTGTTTGTTTTTATAATAATACTGATTTGAAAAGAAATGTGTATGGTTCTCTGTTATGTGTTAACTATTTCATATATTTAACAATGTTTCATAGGATATTTTTCAGTATTTCTTCAGAAAAATACCCAGAAAATGTTCTAATGCCACTGTGTCCACTTGGGGTTAGGGTATATTGCCCCTATTACAGTTTTCCTTTTCCTTTAATCTCTGTCCTCCTCCCCCTTATTTTCTAACACTTTTTGTCCAGTTACTAGCTTTATATAGTTATTTTTGAACCTTGATGAAGTGTAAACAAATTTGTTTTTGAACTGCATTGTAGGTGATGCTACCAAATGAATACCCAGGTACAGCTCCACCTATTTATCAGTTGAAGTAAGTTATATTTCTACATTTATATTTTTATAAAAAGATTATACTTTCAAAGATATTTCTCTATTCTGTACATTGTGTTTATATAAGATACCTTTCTTACTAAAATGTAAATAGAAATTTAAAATATCTTTTGGGTTTGATACAGAGCATTTAAATAAATTAAATTATATAAAACACATTGAATATGCCACTTAGTAGACAAGAGAATCACAGGGTTGATAGGGGTAAAATATCTACATAATTGTCTTTAGAGATGAGGAAGGAAACCTTGCTCTTTAGACAACCTAGTAATCTAGAAACCCTGGCCCTTAAAGTTTCTCCTAACCTCTTTATCTAGCCACAGTTCCTTGATGTGCCTCTGCCTAATTATCCATGACGCTTCGTGTTTCTCCCTGCCCCCTCCCTTCATTGTTGAGGAACTATCTTCATAGCAATTCAAGCTTGATCTTTATAAGTAAAGGTCACCTGTAAATGCAAGTGACCTTCCATCTACCTTTCCCCCTTCACTTAGTAATATGTATAAACCCATGGTAACAGAATTGTATAAAAAAATTTCAATTACTAGAATTTGTAATTAGAGTAATTACTTTTTATGCAAGTGTTTTAAAACCATAGTATTAAGGCTTAGTGTTAATAATGGTTCTATACATTTTTATTTTTATTTATTGCTGGCAAACACTGTGAATCTGGAAATTTAGATTCTAGAACCTGTTCTGCCACTTACGTAGACTTAGGCAGGTTTATGATATACCCTATGAACCCACCCTTGATTTCTAAATCATTACAATTTGATATTAGTGTTTGTTTTGTCATGGTTTCTTGGGAGGACTGAATAAGTTAATGGTAATAAAAGCATTTTGGAACTATACGGATTTACACAAATATAAGACAACTTTTTAATGAAAATAGATAATTTTCAAAAGCTAAATAAAACCAATTTGTGATTTAATCAGTAATTTGTTTGAGACATAAACACAATATTTGAATAATCTTTTTGTGTTGTATTTAATCTTAGTGCTCCTTGGCTTAAAGGGCAAGAACGTGCGGATTTATCGAATAGCCTTGAGGAAATATATATGTAAGTGGCAGGTGATTTAAAAAAATCCTGTTAGCAATTATATTGTGGACTTTTTGTAGAAACTGTGGTATGTTAGAACCTTTCTGAACTTTTTGTTAAGCCATTTTCTATTAACAAAAAGGATTCACTTGAAAAGTACTGAAAAGGTTAGTTATATAATTTCGTATATACATTTGACAGCTTCTATTTATAAAAATACAGTAATATTTAGAGCTAATAGCTATAAAAACATTTAGCCAACTTATGAATGTAAATTCAGAGATACTGCTCTTATTTTGATATTTTCATAGGGTTTGTAGAATGAAATTGGTAACAGCAGAATCCTAAGATTATTTACTAAACTTATATGTACTTTGAATGGTGATTTCTCTGGTATTAGTCCATAAAACTAAGAGTCTATTGAAATACTGTATTTTCATTCATTCATTCTTTCATTCCCTCATTTAACAAATACTACGTGACAGGCACTGTACTAGATCCTAGATAGCAAAAACAGAGATAGTGTCTTTTTTCATGGTATTTAGAATTCACTGGAAGGAGAGATACTCCTTATAACATTGTGAAAATGAATGTAAAACTATAGCTATGATAAGTTCTACAAAAGAAAGATAAACAGAAATAGTTGAGTTTAAAACAAGACCTAACCTAGTCTAGGAGGTCAGGGATGCTTGTTTGACTTAACAACTGAGTTAATTAGGGGAATACAACTCCAGTGAGAGGCCACGGCATGCAGAAAGGTTCAGTGTGAGGGAGGTTGGCACATTTCAGGAAACAGTAATGGTAATATGAAGTGGTAAGAGACGGAGGAGGGAAAGAAGGGAGCATGTAGGAAACTGACCTGGAGAGGTAGTCTGGGGAGCTTCTGTGCAGTTGTGTAGGTTACATTAAGGATTTGTCTTTATCCTAAGAATAGTTGGAAGCAGACAAGAGTTTTAGATAGTGAGGTGCCATGAGAAGATTTGCATTTTGAAAAGATCATCCTATTTCTGTTTGGTGAACTGATTGCAAGGTAGCAAGAATAGATGTGGGACATTAGTTAGGAGGCTAATGCAGTAGTCTAGAGAAGATATGACAGTGATTTAGATAATTTTAACTAGATTTATTAATTTAGTAATATAAATAACGTTCTAGAATATCACTTTTACTCTAATCCAGGATCTAGTAAGGATTGTATTATATATATGTTCTAGGTGGCCACTCCATTTGGTACAGTGAGAGTACCCCCTTTGTGTCCCTGGGATCTAGGCCAGGTTTCTTTTCCTCCTAAAATATTTAATTAGGAAATGGTAAGTCATTGAGGAATCCATTCTACTTGTTCCTTCTTAGAGCAAGTATGGTCTTCCTTGGGTTCCCACTTAGTGATTGTGACATCCTGAGCGTGTAAATATTATTTCTTCAATTAAATGTTTTCTAATACGTTTCCCTAACTTTACTGGCCACTCTAACTTTTGTGCCCCCCAGCAAACTTCTTTCTGTAATCCTTCATTTACTCTTATTTGCCAATTTATTTCCCTGCTTAAAGTAGAATAAGTATACTGCAAATTTGTTCACCACTAACATCTGAATTGTTCGTCTGGTGGTCATTTTTCAGCTCTTACCTGACTTTTGGTGGTAGTGACAACTTCTTCCTTCTTGAAAATCTTTGCACACTTGGCTTCCATTGTGTTAAGTACATTCATCAGTTAGATTTTTTTTTCCTATCTACCTATTCCCATTCCAGAAAGTCCTTCTTTTACTAGGTGATACCCTCCCACAGGACACAGCTTGCCTGTTCTCCCTGACTAGTTCAATGGAGCTATTTGAGACTTAGGAAGCATCAGAAGTTACAAAGCAGTTTGTTCTAAAGATAGAATATGGGTCCTATTGTCTTGTTTATTAAAAGTACTTGAGTAACTCCTGTCCACTGGTTTTATTTTCATACATGTGGTCTAAGTAAAAATATATATTTTACTTTTAAAACTTTTTTTTTTTAAGAGACAGCGTCTTGCTATGTTGCCCAAGCTGGCCTTGAACTCCTGGGCTCAAGTGATCCTCCTGCCTCAGCTTCCTGAGTAGCTGATATTACAGGTTTGCACCACTATGCTGGGCTTTGTTTCTAAAACTTCTGTGTGACACCTTTTGATCATATTTTCCATATAATTCCTGCAGGGGGTGCAAATGAAAAATATTGGTCTTAAAAAATTAAAAATGACATAAATGTATGACTATAGTTCTTAATGTTTATAGTTTTATTATGATTCTAAATATTATAACACTATGGAGGTTTGTGTATTTATCATACTTTTGAATACTAAATTTGATTTCTGCTTAGATAAGAACATGAACTACAGTATAGTTAGTTGCCACATTTATTGAGTGTCTCCTGTATGCTGGCACTCTGTTAGGAGTTTGAGATTAAAAATTAAGATCAGGCTGGGTATGGTGGCTCGCATCCATCATCCCAGCACTTTGGGAGGCTGATGCGGGAGGATCACTTGAGGCCAGGAGTTCGCGACCAGCCTGGGCTACATAGCAAGACCCTGTTTCTACAGAAAATAAAAAAATTAGCTAGGTATGGTGGTGCAAATCTGTAGTCCTAGCTGTTCAGGAGGCTGAGGCAGGAGGATCACTTGAGCCCAGGAGTTCCAGGCTGCAGTGAGCTGTGATGGTGCCACTGCACTTCAGCCTGGGCAACAGAGTGAGACCTTCTCTCAATAAAAAAAGAAAATTAATGTGTATCTGTACCATATAATGAGATAATTACTGAGAAGTTTGACCAAGTGGTATAGTAACACTATTTGAAGTTTTAGCAACAAACCGTTTGTGGGAAGGTGGGTGAGGTTTAGGGGAAGGTCCCATTGTGAAGGTGACCTTTGAGCAGGGTTTGCCAGTTTATCAGAGCCAGAGCACTTTTCTGGCAGAGGGAACTGTGAGAGCAAAATCACATAGGTGCGAAGCAACCTGGTGTCTTCAGAGTTTAGCAAGTAGTTTAAGAGGCCAGGTATATAAATTGGGGAAGGTATAAAAGGAAAGACCCTGTAAGCTGGGATAAGGAGTTGGCTATTATCTTGGGCATTTTAGGCAGGAAAATGAAGTAATCAGATTTGTGTGGCAGTGTGGAGGGTAGGCTGGGTAGGGTTGGGGTTGAGGAGTAGTAAGTAGAAAGACCATGTAGAGTTTGAAGGAAGGGATGAACACTAGAGGAAGAGCAGTCAGTAATTCAGGAGGGATATAGAGGAGACCTTTATTAAAGCAACCAAAATGTGCATGGAGAAGAATGCTTAGTTTAAGAAATATTTAAAAATGTAAATTAGAATTTGGTAACTGATTAGATGTAGTTTGGTTATCATACCTAATTTTTATTTAAATATTTTGCATGTAGATATTTTGAATAAATGAAAATAACTATTTTAATAAAACAAAAGATAAATAAATTTCAGATGCTTAGAATATTATTGTTTAAGAGAAAATGAAAGGGATTAAAATTTTTTTATAGTATTTGAATTTGTGATGATCCATTTCAACAATATTTAATTGATAAATCCAAGAAAATAATTTTTATAATTTCCTACAGCTCTTCACATTTTGACATATCACGGAGTCTTAGATTTTAATGTTGGTGAGTGAGGCTTGTCAAAGCAAAAATTGCACAGTACAGAGTTAAACACGCAATGAAGACTTTATTCGAGGCTTCTACAATAGGAGGGAGAGGCCAGAACTAAGTCTGAGCTCAACTCCTCTGAAACAAAAGGCCGAAAGGTTTTTAAGGACTGGGATGAGCTAGTGGAAAAGTACTAGATGTTAAGGGGCCCATTAGTTTATGTGATGTGTTGGGCATATTGAGTTACTGCTTGGTTAGCAAATATTTCTCTTTGTGATTAGGCCGTCTGTGTTTGCCCTTCTGTGCCCATTGAAGTTAGCTTTCTGCCCTCCCACAGAGACTGGGAGATAGGGGCATTGTCTTCTTCCTTGGTGATTATGTTTCAAAGGGCTGGCTCCCACGTCCTTGAGAAAGACATTCCTGGGTTGTAAAATGGACAAGAGGCTCCTATAAAAAGATTTATACGTACCTCAAAGGGGCAGACAAGAAGTTTACAATGACAAGTTTTCTAAAGAAAATACTCTAAGAAAAGGGACATCAGAGCCTAGAGTTAGTTAGGAAGAAGTCTGTCTAAAGTTTAGTCAAGCTGAGCTTAAGGCCTTTTTGGCAAGGCTTCTGGAGTCAGTTTTTGAAATGACCTCCTTGTGTCTGTTTCCTCATATGTAAAATGGGGATAATATCAGGATTAAATGACGTACTCCATGTAACATACTTTAGCACATAGTAGCCGCTGTTGTTTTTACTGTTCCTATTTAAAAAATCATCTCACTTTGAAAATGAGGTGACTGAAAATCAGGTTAAATCGTTTGTTTAAGACCACACACCCTAATGCATTTTAGTGAATAGCTTTACCTGTGCGCCAACAAATATAAATATTGGAAAAGGAAAGCTACAAAAATTAGAGCCATAGGTAAAATTAGAGTCAGAAGTAACTTGACTTTGTTTTGATTGTTCTGTATGGAATTGTTATTGAAGTATAGTTATTCACAAAATAGATCAAGTAAAATAACAGTTATTGCCAGACACAGTAACTGAGATTAGCACCTGCAATCCCAGCTACTTTGGATGCTGAGGAGGAAGGATGGCTTGAGCTCAGGAGTTGGAGACCAGCCTGAGCAAGAGCAAGACACAAGGATACCCCCCCACTACTAAAAATAGAAAAACTTAGCTGGGGGTGGTGGCATGTGCCTGTAGTCCCAGGTACTCCAGAGGCTGAGGCAGGAAAATCGCTTGAGCCTGGGAGTTTGAGGTTGCTGTGAGGTTGCTGCCACCAGGGCACTCTAGCCCAGGCAACAGAGCAAGGCTCTGTTTCAAAAAAATTTTTTTTTTTATTTCTTATACCCAGAAATTGTAGACCTTTGGAGACAAGGTGCTTTAAACCTTTCATTTTATAGATGAGGAAAAGAGTTCAAGTGGCTTGCTTGCCTAAGATTCAAGTGGCTTACTTGGCTAAGGTTATAGCTATTTGGTAGGAGAACAAAATGTAGTCAGCTTGAACTTTGAACTTCAGTCTTGAGTTCATATTCCAGCTCTGGGCTTCTTAGTGCTTATAAGACTATCTTGGACAAGTTAATTGATCTCTGTAGGTTTGTTTTCTCATTTGTACAATAGGGAAATTACGTACTTCACTGGACACTTGAGATTAAATGTGTTGATATATATAATGTACTTGGGGCTTAGTATATACTCAATACATTTTACTTTACACTGTCTCTATTACTCTGAGTCTTTTATTGAGAAGAGAGGATAGGAATGGGAATTGTTTAAAAGAAATTCACCAACATTCTCAATGTTTTCAAACCTTCCAATTGACTTTTGCTTTCTCTAAAAAGAAAGGTTTCAAAAGAATACATAGAGGATTGTTTTAGTGCTAAGAATTGTGGGTGTGATGGGGAAGATTTGAGGTATAGAATAGTTTAAAGACTGTTATTTTCTTCCGTATGCTTGTTTTGAAAGTCTCCTTTGGTGGGTGCTGATGAGTGATGATAAAGAGAGATAATGGTTTCAAGGGGAACTTTTGGAGGAAGGAGGTAAAGTGTTGCTGTGAAGTAGAGTGGTGATATCTAATGCACACTAAAACTTACCTAAATTAGTGTCATTCTCTAAAGAGTAGACACTTGGGTTTTTATTTTACTGCTGTTGCCATCATTTAACATAACTGTGGACATGACTTTAAAACCCATGACACATTTTTTTCCTCAGTGATCCTTTGAGATGGATTTAATTATCTGAGGCAGCTAAACATCATTTGGAACCAAAATGAATCAATTTAGGCAATAGGATATTTTGTCAAAAACAAGGTATGAATATAAAATTGTTGAATTGTCTTTTAGATCATGTAAATTGACTCCCCGAAGGAGTTCCCCGTATGCTTTGCATTCTTTGTTGAAATAAGTATGCTAAATGAAAAGTGTACCAAATTAGTGGTTTGAAATTGTTTAAAAAGTTTAGAAAAGCAAGCAATGATTGGACATCAATACTAAAACTATATCTACTGGTAGCAACTAAGTCACATTTACATTTCCTAGTCCATCCAGTTCAGAAATTTTTATTCCCTTCTTTGGTTACAACTGTTCTGCTTATTTTAAGTAAGCCATGCTAATTTTTGAGCCAGTTGGAATTTTTAATGTTGTTATGAATTATATTAAGTACTCATCATGTTTTTATAAATTCTTTTTAAAAAGCCATGGTTAGATTGTATAAATGTTTTGGGTTGTAAATATATTTGTGTTTTCTTGAATTTGAGAAGGTAATTTTTTGAAATAACAAATTTTTTTCTCTGCATTTTATTTAGACAAAATATTGGTGAAAGTATTCTTTACCTGTGGGTGGAAAAAATAAGAGATGTTCTAATACAAAAATCTCAGCTGACAGAACCAGGTAGGATTGAAAACTACTATCAATACTCAATATCAATACTTTTTTATAGTAATTAAATTTTTATGTAAATATTCTAATTGAAATTTTATATGAAAATCTGTATTCTGGCTTATGGTTTTTTACATAATAAAATATAAGTTTCTCTGGGAAGTTTATTTACTCATGTAATTATGGTTATTTCTTTCTATAAGATTTAGCCTCTTTGATTTCATGTTAGAGTAGTCACCCCTTATCTGAGGTTTCGCTTTCCATGGTTTGAGTTTCTCATGGTCATCTGTGGTCTAAAAATATTAAATGGGCTGGGCACGGTGGCTCACGCCTGTAATCCTAGCACTCTGGGAGTCCTAGGTGGGAGAATTGCTTGAGCTCAGGCGTTTGAGACCAGCTTGAACAAGAGTGAGTCCCTGTCTCTACTAAAAATAGAAATATTAGCCGGGTGTGGTGGCATACACCTGTAGTCCCAGCTACTGGTGAGGCTGAGGCAGGAGAATCGCTTGAGCCCAGAAGTTTGAGGTTGCAGTGAGCTACAGTGATGCCACTGCACTCTACCCAGGGCAACAGAGTGATACTGTCTCAAGATAAATAGATAAAATAAAAACATTAAATAGAAAATTCCAGAAATAAATAATTCATAAGTTTTAAATTGTGCACCATTCTGTTAATGTGATGAAATCTTGTGCCATCCCATTCCATCACTTAATCGCCTCAAATAGGCATTTTATCATCTCACATCATCAGAAGGGTGAGTACAGTACAGTAAGATATTTTGAGAGAAAGAGACCACATTCACAAACTTTTATTACAGTACATCATTACTATATAATTGTTCTTGTTATTAATTGTTAATATTATACTGTGCCTAACTTATAAATTAAACTCAATTATAGATATCTATGGATAGGAAAAAAACATAGTATGTATAGGGTTTCTTACTGTCCATGGTTGCAGGCATCCATGGGGGTTCTTGGAACTATCCCCCAAGGATAAAAGAGGACTACAGTATACTCATATAGAAGTAGAATATTATGGTGAAAGAACTTGGACCTAAAATCTCTGTCCTCTTTGACTGTTGTTAAGGTAATGTGAACTTTGTAACATTCCTTATGAACTATTGGACTATATAAATTAACTTCAAGTGAGTCTACTGTTAATAGAAAAAGAATTTTGGAAAGAATAGTGACCACTATTAGGATATTTCTGGGAGGCCGAGGTGGGAGGATTGCTTGAGCTCAGGAGTTTGAGACCAGCCTGAGCAAGAGCGAGACCCCGTCTCTTTTATAAATAGAAAGAAATTAACCAAACAACTAATAAAAAAATAGGAAAAAAAAAATTAGCTGGGCACAGTGGCACCTGCCTGTAGTCCTAGCTACTTGGGAGGCTGAGGCAGGAGGATCACTTGAGCCCAGGAGTTTGAGGTTGCTGTGAGCTAGGATGACGCCACGACACTCTAGCCCAGGCAACACAGTGAGACTCTGTCTCAAAAAAAAAAAAAAAATAGTGACTACTATTAGGATATAGAAATTAACTTTGAAAATCGATTTTTTATTGAGATATAATTCCCATGCCTTAATTATTTACCCTTTTAAAGTATACAAGTCAGTGGTTTTTAGTATATTCCCAAAGTTGTGCCACTGTCACCACTAATTTCAGAACATTTAAAAATTGATATTTTGCTCTATTATTATTAGTCTTGCATCATTAAGTATATGACAACGAGGAAATCTAATGTTTCCTGTTACTTCACTTTGCTGGTCTTTGTTTCACTTACCACAAAGGCCTTTTGGAGAGCAAAATAATACCCAGATAGAGTTTTATTGTTACCACTGGTAGAATTGTTTTCAATTTGGGAAAAAGAGGAATTAAAAAAGAATCTAATAGTTTACTTACTAATTTTTTAAAAGGTTATTTATAGGGAACCAGTTATTTAGGATTCCCTTAGCAAAATCAGTATACATTTAAAATTGATAGTAGTATATATATTTTTTAGAACATTTTACCACTTTTCTGTAGATCCAGATATTTATACTGTTGCTGTTAAGATCAAAGAGATAAATTGCATGGAAGATATTCTGTGTAAGTCTTTTTTCACATATTTTCTTTAACTTTCTATGATCTGTATTCTGATTTTATAGCATCTCAGGACATCTGTGAGAAAAGTGATTTCAGAATTCTCAAAACAAAATTAATTTTTGTCAGTCTGCCTTTCTAGAATGGGAACAATTGCCAAAATGGAATATATTCCAGTTAAAACTTAGGACTTCAGGAAGTCTTAGGAAACTCTTAGGAAATTTTAATAATCGATTTTAAAAATGGTATTTTTCCTACCTTTATCCATAATATAGTTTAGCCACTCTTCAACTTTCAGTTATTGATTTGTGTTGTATAATTCATTATTTTGATTTTTTAGGATTTTTTCCTTTTCTTTTTCCCCTCCCCTCTTCTCCCCTCTCCTCCTCTTACAATGTTGAGACTTATGAAGAATACTTCTCAGTTATTTTGTAGAATGCTCCTCAGTTTGGTTTTGTCCAATGTTTTCTTATGATTGGTGTCAGATTATCCATTTTTGGTAAGAATACCACAAAAATGATACTGTGTCCTTCATAGTGTATCATATCAAGGGGTTCATGATGTCAATATGCCTCATTATTGGTGATGTTTACCTTGATCCCTTAGTTAAGAAGATTCCTGCCAGGTATCTCCACTGTAAATCCTATAGTCAGGATTCTGCAGAGAAACAGACCCAATAGGATGTGGATGTGTGTGTATGTGTATATATGTGGATTATACATAGAAAGAGAGAGAGAGAGATGTATTTTAAGGAATTGGCTTATACAATTGTAGAGGCTGGCAAATCCAAAATCTGCAGGATAGGCTGGCAGACTAGAGACCCAGGGAAGAGTTGTTGTTACAGTTTGAATCCAGAGGTCATCTGCTGGAAAAATTTTCTCTTCTGGTGAGGTTAGTGTTTTTCTTTTAAGGCCTTCAACTGATTGGATGAGGCTGGCCCACATTATTGAAGACAATCTGGTTTACTGAAAGTCAACTGATTTAAATGTTAATCTCAGCCCAAAAATACCTTCACAGAAACTTCTAGAATAGTGTTTAACCACATATCTGGGTACTGTGGCCTACCTAGCCAGGTTGACATGTAAAATTAATCATCACAGTTACTATCTTTCTCTTTGTATCTTGAGGGAGGTACTTTGAGGCTATACTAATATCCTATTCTCCTTAAATTTTCACCCACCCATTTATTTATTAATAAATATCCATCAGTGGATCTTGTCAACCATATTTATTACCATGATGTTTGCCTAATGCTGATTATCTATTTCCTTCCTTCTTTCTTCACTTAGTAATTAGAATTCTTGTGAGGAATAGATGTCTCTCTTCCCCATTTTTGCATTTATTTGTTTAACTGTTTATATCAGTATGAACTCATGTATATTATTTTATTCCATGGGTTAAAATTCTATATTATCGTTATTTATTTTGTTGATCAAATTGTTCCATCTTTGGCCATCAGGAGCTCTTTCAGGTTGGTTCCTGTGTTCTTTTTATAAATCCCATCTTTTTTTGAGGATTTCCTAATTTCTGGAACCACATGATACTCCAGGTTCATCTTGTGTTTTCCTTGCCCTAACCCTGGAATGAACCACTTTTCCTAGGAGCCTTTTTTCTTCTGTTGAAGAATGGTGTTTAGAGACCAGGACCTAATGATTTTTTAAAAGCATAATTTCTTACTTGCTTCATAAATTAATCATAATGTCTCATGTCTACATAGGTCCAGATGTAAAGAAGAAAACTGAAGAGGAAGATGTTGAATATGAAGAGGATGTCATTTTAGCATGCCAGCCAGAAAATCCAGTTAAAGCATTGGATTTTGATACCAGTGAGAATCGAACAGGTATAATGTAACCTAACTGGTTTCCTTTAAGGAAAATGGGGAGGTAGTGTTATAGTATTATGTATTGTTCTTTGGAATGATACAGAAATTTAGTAAACTCTCAGATTTTAGGAAGGAGTTATTAATTTGCAGATAACTGAGATTTTTTTCTCCTGTCCCTTGGCCATTTTGGTGTTTGCCAAGTCTATCAATGATGAGAAAAAATGGAAATTTACCTTTTGTTTTTTTGCTACTTACTAAGTTCTGATTTAGTGATGGGAGAAATTGAAACTAAAAAAGGCTTTTAATGTTTTCAATTCATATCCTGTTTTTATATTTCTATATTGAAGCTATGTCAGCTATCTCCTGATATCTCTGGGTTAAATTTTAATCTGTGCTCACAAATATATTAACTGAAAGTGCAGCCACTGAAATTAAAGCTAATAAAATGCCTTTTAAGAGTTTAGGTTTGAGCCGGGCGCGGTGGCTCACGCCTGTAATCCTAGCTCTCTGGGAGGCCGAGGCGGGCGGATTGTTTGAGCTCAGTTCGAAACCAGCCTGAGCAAGAGCGAGACCCCGTCTCTACTAAAAATAGAAAGAAATTAGTTGGACAACTAAAAATATATAGAGAAATTAGCCGGGCATGGTGGCGCATGCCTGTAGTCCCAGCTACTAGGGGGCTGAGGCAGGAGGATTGCTTGAGCCCAGGAGTTTGAGGTTGCTGTGAGCTAAGATGACGCCACGGCACTCTAGCCCGGGCAACAGAGTGAGACTCTGTCTCAAAAAAAAAAAAAAAAAAAAGTTTAGGTTTGTTTGTTTTTTTTCTCCCCTTAAGGAAATGGGGTCTCTCTGTGTTGCCCAAGCTGGCCCTGAACTCATAGGCTCAAGTGATCCTCCTGCCTCAGCCTCTAAAAGTGGTGGGATAACAGGCATGAACCACCATGCTGACCAAGAATTTAGTTTTTGTTTAAACAAATTTGTTCCATAATCAAGTAGTATTCAACTTAAAAACAGGTTGATGTGATAAAACTAGTTCTATGTTTCTATATGAAAGTGTGTTCAATTTTAGTGTTTTAAAATTTTGAATGTTACTGTTCCGAGTCTCTTACAAAAACTTGATAGACCAGGGGGAACAATTCATTCTGTTTGAAGGCGAGGAGTTTCCTATGCCATTATACAGTAGTTTTTAAACAGTATTTTGACGGTTTAATGTTTCTCAATGCTGTCCCAGGATTAGTGGAAGAGGATAAAGAAGAAATGTAAGAGTGGGGAGGATCCAGCTGCTCCTCCTCATACTTTAACCCAAGTAGCTCCCATTTTAATCATTTATTTATTTGTAGATTTGACATATGACTTTTGGGAAATGGGATCCACCATTAAAAGAAAAAGGGTAAAAGTCACAGTCATAAATAGTATCAATAAGTCATTTGTTCATATCGACCTTAATACTGTATTTGACTTAATCACTGTATTAGTACAGTGGTCAAAATCAAGAAAAGGGCAATGTTAAAGGGAGGGTAAAATATTCTACATGAACCTGGTTTCTTGTCTTCAGTAACTTTTCATCCTAAGTGAGGTAGGTAGTAGCAGCCAGATTAGTTAAGTTTCTCAACAGAGTTTAGGGTGTTAATCAGTGATTCTCAAATTTAAGAGTCAGAATAATTGGAAATCATGATACTCTTTATGGAATACCAATTTGAATTATTACCGTTGTGTTTAATTTCATCATATTGAAATAGGAATAGTTTTGTTAGCAGAAAATATTATAGCTACACAATATAAAGTCATTTAAAGACCCAACCCAGAGGTCTGTCAATAATGGAATGGATGAATAAGTTGTTCTATATTAACAGCTATTAGTCTTTGGTTTCAGGACCACTTTACACTCTTAAAAATTAGATATTATGTTAGATATCGTACCCACATACACTACCACAAAAGTCCAGGATTTGAATCCCAACCCATCACTTCCGCTGGGTAACTTTGGCAGGTGAAAATCATTTATAAGTATTTTTATCTTATGTATTAATAAAATATACTTAGAAACTTTTTGCTTAAAATTATGATTTAGATTTAATTTTGGTAGATGGTTATTAATGGCTGTTTTAGTTGATTTGCCATATAATTTACATTTCTTTCCTAATTCTCCCCCATTGCCAATTTTTCAGTGTTTAAATGTAAGTTTTAAAAAAATTCATTTAAATTCATTCTTTAAATTTATAGAAATAGAAGAATTACCTCCAATTGATCACGGCATTCCTATTACAGACCGAAGAAGTACTTTTCAGGCACACTTGGCTCCAGTCGTTTGTCCCAAACAGGTAAAGTTCCTATGTCTAGCTCACTTTGATGTTGTTTTACCAAAGTAATTAAAGTAAATGATTTTGCAGTACTGTGCTTATTTTTACTTTCATGTTTAATTTTCACATAGGATAAAAAGCATTTGCTTATCTTCCTACTCTTAAATTATTACTGTGAATCATAGAAGATTTTGTTTTGTTTCTGTTTGTCACTGCTTTCAAAATTATATCTAAACTCTAATTAGGGCTTAACCTCCTAATGAATCTTTAAATAAGAAATATCCATTGCCTTACTGTAGAAAAGTGTGATGCTTAATAGCTTGTTAAAAAGAATTATTTGTCCTGTGAAGTGGGAGTTCTGTGAAACTAAGTCCATTCCGCTGTTGCTCAACAAAGGGGACAGTGGACAGACAGGGTAAGCCCAGTCTTCCCTACTTGATTTCTTTTCCCTTCTGCTTCCTCATCTGATATGACCTTATTCCTCCCTAGGGATATAAATGGGAGACTTTTCAGTCAAAAACTATATTGCTAGATCTTTGCCTTTCTTACTCTCTTTTTAGCATAATCCTTTTCTTCTTCCTTGTTTCTGTATTTTAGCCCAGCTTAAATTTTATTGATGTACAAGGCAATATCAATACTATCTGTAAAGTTACATTTTTTTTAAAAGTCTCATTATTTCCCAAAAGTTTTAGGCATTACTGTCTTTCTTTTAGTCTTTGCAGTTAATCTCCTCTTTAAGCTCTTTTAAAGCCCTGACCTTTCCGGATACAGTTCTTCATTCCAAGCTTTTTCACTCTCTTTTAGTCTCTGGTAGAGGAAGCTCTTTTCTACATTGCCTTGTGGTCAAGATAATAGCTTCTGGTATAGCCTTCTTGTCTTTTCTCTTAGGAATCCTATTTGGTGTTTCACCCTTGCTCATAATCTTCTTCCTAGGGTCCTCCTAAGACATTCTGTTCTGAATCTGATCATCCTGGATCCTCTTTCTGTTTCTGATCATAGTTAGACTTAAAGGATCATAATTTGCGAGAGCTGAAACACATTTTGGAGGTCATTGTCTACTTTATTCTATTGATCAAGAATCTGGCTGGTTCTTTCCTGCAGGGAGACACTGCCTCTGCTCTGTCCATGGAATAGACTTTGTAGAGTTTCTGCAGGAGGCCAGTTCTCTTCTGTAGGGAGAACTTGCCTCTGGGAGAAAAAAAAAAAAGAATCTGAGGACATGAAAGGTTAAAAAACAATAAACACAAGACTGCACAATTTGTGATCCAGATTGATTTCCCCAGGTCTAGCTCAGTCTTTCCTGCCACCATACTTGTTGTCAGTTACAACCTTCCTGAAAAGTCTGACCACTCTCTTTTCCCCTCCATCCACTCCCACACATACAGTCCATTGCCTGCAAGGGAAAAATCTAAACTTCTTATGCAAGGCCCTTTGTGATATGACCCTAGCTTATCATTTGTGACATACCTTCTGTCATTTTGTTCATACTCTAAGTTACAGCTACATAAAATTTCCTGAAACTTCCTCCTTTATGTACCTGCTAGGGTTGTCAGATAGAATACAGGATACCTGGTTAAATTTGAATTTCAGATAAACATTACTGTATGGGACATACTTATACTAGAAAATTACTTGTTTATCTGAAATTCAAATTTAACTGGGTATCCTTTATTTTTATTTGCTAAATCTGATCACTCTAGTTCCTGCATATCTATATTCTGCTTCCTCTGAGTGGTATGTCTTCTTTCTGCCCCATCTTTCCTTTTGATGTAGAACTACCACTTATTTTTCATGACCTGGCTCATGTGACCTCCTCTATGAACTTTACTTGATTCCTAGAGAAAGTTCTGGTTTTATAACGTATGGAACATACCGTTATTGTACACCTACCATACTGGATATATATGTTTGGTAAATTTCAGAGCCAATTTTTAGAAATTCTTACATTTACATTTAAAATTCTCTGTATGGAGATCAAGTTTTCATATACAGTGTGTTAGACATAGTTAGTGCCCAAATATTTGTTGATAGTGCTCAAAAATACCAGGTCTGTCATTTTTGTACCAGTTGAGAGTACCAGTTTTTGCCCTTAAAATAAGAAGAAAACTTTCGAAATGGCTTTTTCAGTGTCTAACTCTTTAAATGATTATTTTAATATAATATGCTTTAAGATATTTTTCTAGCATTTATTTGCAGAGCAGATAAAAAGCATATTTTATTTATATTACTGCTGTTTTAAAGGTAAAAATGGTTCTTTCCAAATTGTATGAGAATAAGAAGATAGCTAGTGCCACCCACAACATCTATGCCTACAGGTGAGTAATCATCATAGTTTTTGGAATTTGCAACTTTTAAAAAGGGGGAAATGATGCATGATTTTAAAAAATAAAAAGTGTTTTTTCTATTATGATAGTAATAGACATGTAGAATACTTGGAAACTGAAGAAAACAAAAAAAGAATTGGAGGAAAAATCAAGCATTTTCTGCCATTAAATATAACTGACAATATTTTGTTATATTTTTTGTCTTTTCTGTACAGTTTATTAATATTAGCCTTAGGCTTATATAAGCCTTATTATATAAGCTTAGGCTTATATCTCATTTTTTTTCTTAAACAAAAGCACTTTATCATGTTATTATAACTGCTTGGTAAATACTGTTTTAATGATGTTTAGTATTTGTTTGAGGCTCTGTACTACTATTTATTTAACCATTTCCTTTTTGTTATAGTTTTTTGTATTTTTCACTATTGTGAAGAATAGTCCAGTGAACATCTCCTGTACTTTTTAGGTTATTTTCTCAGGATAGGTTCTAGTTGCTTCAGATTCTTTTTTGAAATGAAATGGAGATATAATTAAAAGGAGGAAAGAATAAATTCTCAGAAGTAAAATTATCATAATGTGTGAACATTTTTGAAACTCTTGATATGTATTGCCAGATTTCTTCCAAAGGGTTTTAAAACCAAACTATGCTCCCATCAGCAGTGAATTAAGAGTACTTCTTTTATTATGTGCCTTTTAGTTTTGTACTAAGGTTTTTATACAGATTTTTGGTAATTTATAAGTGAAGAGATGAAGGACATATTTTTTAAATGATTAAGACCCAAAAGAACATAGTTTAGGCCTAAAATAAATCAGAATAGCAACATAGGGATTTGGCACAAATTTAAAATGTGATTGAAACTGTAAAATCTGGGCTATCTGAAATTCATACTCAAAAAAATTCATTGCTTTGAATAGGTGAGTTTTTAATACTACTAAGTTCACATCTCTAAGTTCCAAAAGCTACAACTATTTGTTATGTAATTCCCTTCTTAATAGAGTATCACCAGACAAAATTGTAATGTTTTTTTAGGGCCTTCAGTGTGAAAATAAGGAATTAGACTATGCTCTCAGTGATTAGAAAGTACTGTGAAAATGGTAATAGTTGACATTGATTCATTACACGTTTATCGAGTGCCTACTCTGTGCCAACACTTTATGTGAATCATTTCTGATTATTTCAGCAGTTACACTACTATAAAAAGGTTAACTTTTTCAAGATCCCATAGCTGTTAAATAATAGAGCTGAATTTGATAATCCAATTTTATTTGTCTCTTTATTTCACTCCTCCGTGGCTGTGTGGCTGCAGCATCAACAATTTGTACACAGTGTTGACCCAAAATTATTAAAATAAGTTAAACGATGTGATGGTTTTTCTATTTCAGGCCCTAGATTTTTGGGCTTTTAATAAAGTTCTTGTGAGTGTTTTTGTAGTTTTTCTTTGTCTTTCCATATTAATAAGTGATCAGCTGTTGCTTCTCACAGATGTTGTCAGCGTGACTACAAGTAGCAGCCCCTCCCCCCCCAATTCTCCCTCGCTTATTTAATTGATGCTTGGGAATGAAAGTTTAGCTTGTCAGAATTGTGTTTCAGATAAAACTAAAAAGACACAAAGTGCAGGCTTTAGGGACCCCACTGGGAATAAAATAAATGAACTTTGTTTGGTACGTGGACTTTGTGATGTGTATTTTGAATGCTTAGGATCCTTTTAAGGTTACTTGTTGGTACTGGGGCTGTGTTCCTGCTTTGGAGTTACTGGGTGCACTTCAGGCTACTGGTACACACAGCTATTGGATGCTGCGTCATTATCTTCCTGGCATGTGAGGAAAGGGTTAGTGAAAATTTCCCATGAGTTCATTTTTTAAAAAATGTAACTACTGATTTATATAGTCAAATTTTCTTCATTTGTTCCATAAAATTATGGAGTTAGATTATAAGCCTAATCTAAACCAACTCCTGACTCATTTTTGCCTTAAATTTGTCATTTAAAATTTTGCTTAATAATACTAACTTCCTCGAAGGAGGTCAACTCTGAGTAATAATAGAGCCTTCTTGTAGTAGGTGGTCAGTAAATATTTATTGAGTGAGTGCATGAATACAGGGAAGGAAGGAAGGATGACTGAATGAATGAATATGACTGCTGCAAGATAATGTAACTGATTTAGGTGCGTAGATGAGATTTTATTGCTTTTAATATTTACATAAAAAGTTTCCGAGCTGGGTATGGTGACTCACGCCTGTAATCCCAGCATTAGGGAGGCCCTAAGGCAGGATTACCTGAGGCTGGGAGTTTGATACCAATTTGGGCACCATAGACCCTGTTTTTAAGAAAAACGAGCGAGGCCTGGTGGCATGTACCTGTAGTCTCAGCTACTCAGAAGGCTGAGGGCAGGAGGATCACCTGAACCCAGGAGTTTGAAGGAGGCTGCAGTGAGCTATGACTGCATCAGTGCACTCCAGCCTGGGCAACAAAGCAAGACTTTGTCTTCTAAATAATAAAAAAAAGTTTCCAGCTTTTTATGGCCATAGATGGGGAAGATATCTATCACATTTGCCCAGTTCCATATGATACCACTGTAGGGGCCTAAGAAATCCACTAGATGGCATACCTTATCTAGTACTTATTTGCTAAGCTTATTCTACTACATTGTGGCCCTACATGATTATTCTAAATACTAACTTTCTAGACAATTTAAACGGATAAAAATACCATGATTTGTCTTTAATAATAACCATCAAGGGGAAAATTTTAAAGAGAAAAATAAATCTTTATTAGCTGGGTGTGGTGGCACATGCCTGTAGTCCCAGCGACTCAGGAGGCTGAGGCAGGAGGATTGCTTGAGCCCAGAAGTTTGAGGTTGCAGTGAGCTATGATGGTGCCACTACACTCTAGCCTAAGCAACAGAGAGAGACCCTGTCTCTAAAATAATAATAATAATAATAATAATAATAATAATAATAATGATAAA